TCGCTGGCAGTGCCGGCTCCAAACACTGCGGGGACACGGTGGCACCCACTGATGCAGAGCGAGAGCTTGCAGGTTGGGTCCACTGTCTCTGCACCCCATTGCTTTGCCCAGAAAAAGGCCTGCGAAGGGGGTTTGGACCTTGGTTGTCACCTGAGGGGCCCAGGGTGTCCCCTGCAAACCCCCTGTGTGGCGGGAGCCTCACTGCAGCAGGGCTGAGCTGCAGAGCACCTGGGCAGGAAAGGCCAGCCACGGGAGCAGGCGTCGCTGAACCCTTCGCAAAAGCCATGGGTGCCCAAAGCACCCATGCTCCTGCAGGGGAGGAGGTTGCACCCAAGAGCCAGGGTGCTGCAAGGGCTCCTGGAGGGCAGGAGTGGCCCTTCACTGACCAGGCAGGGGGGCTGCGAGCTCCGTTCTCATATTCGTGTCTCTGGGAGAAGTCTGGGTGTGCACCAAGAAGACACACAGGAAGGGTGTGAGGCCACGAGGAGCCCAGAGGTCTCCATGCTGCCAGCACACCTCATCGCACCAGCTCTGTCCCAAACACCTGTCCCTGGGTTTGGTTTGGTGCATGGAAGGAGACGATGGATGCAGAAGCTCTTGACCCAGCCCTGCCTAGATAAAGCCATGCAGGAGATGACAGCACGAGTTTTCTGTGGAAAATTGTCCCTTGAGGATCACATCTGTGACTCTGTGGCAGGCAGGTAGGATGGGCAGCTCCTCTCTGAGCCCCAGACCCTAGGGTGGGAGTGCAGGTTGCAGCCTGATGCTGGCCCTGCTGCGGGATGCTGGACGCGGGGTGCTGGATTTGGGCTGCAGGGTGGGGTGAGAGGTCATGAGCCACTGGGAGAGAATCCCCCCAGCGCTAGTGAGCTGCCGGGTTTCCGGCATGGAGCAGCCATGCGCCGGTGCTGCAGGGGTGTGGGAGGACCCGAGCACCCGCCGGTTTTGCTGCTGCCTTCCTCTTCCTGCTATGGGTGCTGTGTTCTGGCTTTCCTGCACTTGCAAACCGAAACCGGTGACAGATTCAACACACTGGCACGGTTTCCCCTCCCGCAACCCAGCACCCCGGCAAGCCTCGGTGCGGGCACCAGTCTGCGATCCTGACCCATCCCGTGTCAAGGACCTCCTTAACCAGGCGGGCAACCTGCGAGGACAGCACGGACCCGTGGAGAGCCGGGTAGGGGATGCTGAAGCAGCTGACACTCGGGGGGCTGGGGGGGGCAATCCTGGGATGGGGTGCAGGCTGTGGAGGGGGCAGTGGGGACCCCATGCCACAGGCACCGGCCCCAGCATACATGTCCCACAGTGGGGAGGGAAGGGGAGGGGAGGCCTCAGCAGCAGCGAGGGGCCAGGATGGGGGTGGCCCAGCTGGGTCCTGTTGTGTATTACTGGAAACATCTGGCAGGGCCTGGGCTGGGCATGCAGGCTGCGGGGGCGTGCGCCGGCGGTGCGCACGCATGCACTCAGGCATGCCTGAGTGAGCACATGCATGTGCACACATGCACACGGATACCTGGGTGCGCGCATGCGCACCTACGTATTCATGGCTATGTATGCGTCTGTTCATAAATCCACACGTGCGTATAGACATGTTCGCACCAAGTATATGCATGCAAGCGCACACATATGTACACGTGTACGCTCACACATACATACATGGAGGTCTGCATGTACAGGTAGGCACATATATGCACATAGACACAGACATGCACAATTATGTGTGTGCAGTCATATACACATACATACATAGATATACATGTACACACATACACATGTGAGTATATGTATAAATGGTGACACTTATCTGCAGACATACACATGTATGAGCAAGCAGGTATATGCACATTCCCCCCAACATCAAACATGTATACATGCAGGTATGCACATATGTGCACACATGTGTACAACAATCACACTAACGTGCACATATCATGGCCAGCACCCGCGGGCCATCCCCCTCCCAGGCTCAGCCGGTGGTACCGAGCCCTGGCAGTGCGTGAGACCACGTGTACGCACATCCCCGTGTGTGTGCTTGTATGAGTGAAAATGTGGTGCATGCATGTGTGCCCTGTATGAGCCTACGTGCTCAGCGTGCGAGCGCACGCCCCGTGCACGCCTACAAGACCCACGCACCAGCGTGAGCCTGCATGTGGCCGTGTGTGCCCAGGTGCTGCACGTGCCCACAGGTACCTGTGTGCGGGCTGCGCGCAGGCCATGTGCTGTGCGCTCACATGCCGTGTGTGACGCCGGGTGCCCTGTGCATGTACGTACACATTCCCTGTATGCGCGTGTGTGCCTGTGTGTGCATGCATGTGTGCATTTCCCATGTGTGCGTGAGTGTGCATTTGTGTGCATGCATGACCGGGTGCGCACGTATGTGCACAAGTGCTCGTGTGCGCCCAGGTGTGCGTGCGTGCCCGTGGGTGCATGTATGTGCCATGCGTGCCCAGGTGTGCACCTATGTGCACAAGTGCTCGTGTGCGCCCAGGTGTGCGTGCGTGGCCGTGGGTGCCCGGCCGCTGCGGAGCCGG